CTCCTACACTTGATTGATAGTATGGCTGGATATAAAAGTCTCATTTGCAAGTAAACTATACTCAGTTTTGAAGGCATCATTTCACTGAGCTCTAGCATCCATTATTGCTTCTGAGAGATATTCATACTATTCCTTTTTATTGATCCTTTGTATTTCATAGGTTATTGTTTTAATTTTTGTAACTTTTCAGAATCTTTTCTTTGTCCATGATTTTCTGAAATTTTATAGTTATGCTCTTTGGTGTATTTTTCATATTCATCTACTATATACATTAACTGGCTTTCAATTTGGAGTTTCATGTTTTAGAAAATTTCCCTTTGTACTGAAATGTTTTTCTTGTGTTATTTCTCTGATGACTCCTTCCCTGTTGTTTTATATGACCTCTTTTTCTATACCTTTTATTGGAATATTGAATATCTTAAGCTGATTCTCTTAATTTTCTCATTATTTTTTCCTTCCTATTTTTCACCTCTTTCTTAGAGATTACCTCTACTTTATCTGCAAGCCTTCCTCTTATATTTTTAATCCAACTTTCTTATGTGTTTTAACATTTAAATGTTTTCAGATTGTTCCTTTTTTTTACATTATCTCATTCTTGTTTCATGGCTGCAAAACCTTCCCTTATCTCTCTGAGGATATTGCAATTGTCATGAAGAATTCTCCCTCTTTCCTTTAAGCTTATTTTTCTTTTTTTTTTTTTTTTGAGCTTATTTTTCTTTTTGTTGTTTGTTAGCTCTCACGATGGAGAATTTACTTAGATGTCTGATAAAGTTTCGCTGTCTGATGAACCTTAGCTGTCAATTCATATTGAAGAGAATTACACTAAAAAGTTGATGGGAAGTTTTTGTGCATGAATGAGGCTTGTACTTCCTGGTAGAGTGACGAGCTGGATTTTTTTTTTTTTTTTTTTTTGAGACAGAGCCTCAAGCTGTCCCCCTGGGCAGAGTGCGTGGCATTACAGCTCACAGCAACCTCCAACTCCTGGGCTCAAGCGAGTCTCCTGCCTCCGCCTCCCAAGTAGCTGGGACCACAGGTGCCCGCCACAACACCTGGCTATTTTTTTTTTGGTTGCAGCCATCATTGTTGTTTGGCGGGTCCGGGCTGGGGATTCGAACCCGCCACCTTAGGTGTACGTGGCTGGCGCCTTAGCCGGTTGAGCTATAGGCGCCGAGCCACGAGCTGGATTTTTATTATAGGACTTCCAAGTATCACTGCCTTGTGGCATTTCTCTTATGTTTTTCCATTCTTCCAGAGAATTTAGTATAATATATAACTAGAATAGCAGCAGAAAACAGAGGTGAGCCTAGGCCTCTCTTCCATGTCACAGACTTGATCCTCATGATGTCTTTAGACGACAAACCCTCCAGTCTGCTGCCGGGAAGGACAGGGTGAAAGGAAGCAGTAATGAGATGTTTGCTTGTATGCCAGCATAGGAGATACAGCCTAGTGGAAGCCAAGCATTCTAAATATAAACTTGCAACCAGTTCCTTACTCTTTAACCCTTCACTCACTGTAATACCTTTTGCCTCCAACTACTAGACCTTTTCACAGCACAACGGATGTCAAACAGACTCACTTCTTGTTAGCATCTGCCTCTTCAGAAACCCAGGAAACTAGCTTTCTTTCTCTGCTAAGTCAATTCTGTCCAGTTCCAACTAGTTTCAACTTCTGAAAAGTTGTTGAAATCTCTCTACCACTGTTGTCCTCTCTTCTGGCTTCTTGGTCCTTAATAAATTTATATCTTTCCAATGCCCTTAATTTTCAGTTTAGTGGCATTTTCAGGCTGACTTGACATGTTTAACCAATTTTTGATACTTCATAGAATTGAGAACATGCCCATGTTGCTTCTCTTAAAATCTATTTTTTTCATAAATTTTCAGGGGACTGTGATTCTTCATACTACATATGTAAAGTTGCTATGAGATCTGACAATTAAGTTTACACACTTGCCACCATGTATTTACATTGACAGCACTGAACAAACAACTTGGTAAGGTTTCATGACCTTGGTATATCAGTGTCTCACAGTTGTGTTCATGCTCATGTGTGGTGGTGTCACACTAAGTGGCATTCATTGTTGTCTGTTTTTGTGTGCCATCATGAGAACGTGGGAGCTTGAATTAGAGAAATGAACAACCATTAGTTAATACCTTGTTAATGTTGGTCAGAGTGGAAGTGAAATCAGAGACATGTTAGTCCATGTTTATGGAGATGATGTGATGAAGAAAATGGCAGTGTACAAATGAATTAAATGTTTTTCTGAGTGGAGAGAAAGGGTCACTGGTAAAGAAAGGTCAAAATGGCTGTAACAGAACTGATGAAAACATTGCAAAGTCATCTAATTGTGCATCAGAATGATTGGCTGACTGTGAAAAGCATAGCAGACCAAATAAACATTGATAGGGAAAGAGTTAGGAAAATCTTAACTGAAAATCTTAGCATGAGAAAGGTGTGGCCCTTGCATCATGACAAGGGACCAGCTCACATGACACTGTCGATCGGGAAGTTTGTAGCCAGTGAATAAATAACCATATTGAATACCCTCTTGCTCACCTGATCTGGCCCCTAATGGCATTTTTCTGTACCTTAAGACAAAGGAAATATTGAAAGGAAGACATTGTGATAACATTCAGGACATCAGGTAATACAATGACAGCTTTTATGGCCATTCCAGAAAAAGAGTTTCAGATTTGCTTTTAATGGTGGTCTAGATGCTGTGTAGGTGCATGGTTTCCTAAGGGGAATGTTTCGAAGGTGGCCATAGTGATATTCAGCAATGAGATATGTGCTGCTTTTTCTAGGATGAGTTCACTAACTTAACTGTCAAACCTTTATATTATCTTTACATTGTCATATAAGGAAATGACATTATTTATTAACTATTAAAGTCACATATTGCTGGAATTACTTTTCAGAAACTGTTAGTAGCCTGGCCTAGTTCTTCATATCTTCTTACCCAATGTCTCTGAGGGCAAACATCAGCATTCATTAGATAGCTGACTAAATGTAGGAATATTCAATACTGTGGATTTGGATTTCTCCATAAAGCTGTCTCACCCCTATGGAAATTGACCCCATAAAATTGGCCTCTTCATTAGCACCCTACCCCAGCCAACTAAGATTACTAGTTTCGAAAAACAAATGTTATATTACATTTCCTTAGGGATGATGTAAGAATTTGAACCAAACATTTAAACTTGATGCAGTATCTTGGCTAAATTCATCAAGTGTGTTTCATTGACAATTCATCATGTATGTTTCACTTTTCATATGATGACTCAGAATTACATTTTGATTTTCTCTTCCAGAATCAAAGAGTCCATTTTCTTACAACTGAGCTCATTTCTAGATTTAATGTATATTGTGTTGGAGTTAATTAGCTTTATAAATCTAACATAAATAGAATCAGCACATTGAGCATACTTCTTCAGGACACCCCATATGCTAAGTAAGAAAATGCAACAGGTTTCTAAATATGCTTCCCCAAAACCTTTTACCGGTGAAGAGATACTGCTGTGTGCCTTAAGGAATCTGCTAATGGTATCCAGGCCTTTGCCTTAGGAACATGAGCTGATGTTGGCCTGTCTGTAATTGGACTCTTATGACCATCTGGCAGCTTCTGTGACATATTAGTGGCCTTGGCCCAGTTTCTAATTGGCATGTACCAGCATCAAATTGGCATGTAGCTATATCCACAAAACAGCTTAACTTTCTAAATAAGAGAGGTCATCATGTCTTTCGTTTCTTCAGCTATGATGCAATTGCTTTTTGCAGGTTTTTTTGTCTTAACTAAAAAGAAGCTAAAATGTCGAGATTCCCATGTTATTTTAATCCTAAACCTTTTGAATCTACCTCTCTACAAACTGAAAGAGAGCCTAAAAACTGCTGGTCTTTGACCCCATGTCTTGAAGAAATTATGTAGCATTATATCTTTCTCCCTGACTTCAGCCCATAGACATTCTTAATCTGCAGACTGTCTGCAAATGTTCATAGAAAGATTCTTCTGTAATCATTTTAAACAGAGCCAGTAGAGATAAGATTGCTTTAGTTAGTAGCTTACCAGCTTAAACTGAGTACTCTTTAGTTGGAATGGAAATTTAATCAAGGGAAAACTGAGAATAAGTTTTCACTTAACATTTTATATCTTACTTGGCAACTTGTTTGAAAATGTTGCATAAAAGGTCTAGCACAGGAAACATTTTATACTCCTGCTTATGATTAATAAATATGGAATCTGGGGCATTCTATTTTATAAATCAATGTCTTAGTCCAAATTTCCTGTTTTTCTACATTTAAAAAAAAAACTAAAGGTAAAAATAGCTCTCAACTGTATAGGGTACTCTGGGGTCAAGGCAACAGACAAACAGATTACTCTGGATGCTGTGGTGCACAAAACTGTTATCAGACCATTAGCAGAGACATTCGTTTTGTAGTCACCGTAAAAACAAAAAAGAAAAAAGGCATTTGGGGCAGCTAGTTTTATAAAATACATCCTACTCTGGATTTTCTATGCTTATTGAAAGAGGAAAGGAATGGATAAAACAAAATAATAAACCAGTGACTTGGAAATGCAGGCTCACACACAGCTAATGCATGGAAAACCCTAGTCACTCTAGTCAAAGACTGTCTTAGCACATCTTAATTTTAATCACGTCTATTCCTGCCTGTATTTTACAAACCCAGCCACTGTCTTCAATCTTTAGTATCCGGCACTACCACACCAAATGTATGTATACACTCACCCACTCATACACTTTGATCTTTGTTCAAAGATTTTCTAGTCTTAAGTCATCTGTACTTTCTGACTTTCTCAGAAATGCTCTCAGCCCAGCCCTGGCGTAAGATCCTATAGTGTGTCTTCCAGCAGCTCTCTTTCTGTAGAGCATTACCAAGATACTCTGAAGAATGCATGCATGGCCGAAAGCACTTTGGAATTCATACCGTTAATTGACACTTCATCATGTAAAGATAAAAGTTTTCTCATTTGTGTTTTTTTATAGCCTAAAGAATGTTTCTTGATAGAACCAAGGGAAACAAAAGAGGATACCACCAAGACCAGGAAAAGGAGAAAGGTAATATTAATAATTTATTACAGTTTATGACCCCGTATGGTTTTCATCACATTTGTATATATCATACTTTGATGAGGCAACTATTGCAATCCCCACTTTAGAGATGCAGAAATTGTAAGATCCAGTGAAGTTTGAGGACTTTCCTAAGGTCACTAGTAATAAGTGTTTCTGTTGGAGCTAGAAATAAATTCCTCTGACTCTATTTCAGTCTTGTGAAGCATCAAACATCTTTATTACCCACCCTGTGTTTTCACTGTGGTTAGAGGTCAGACATGGGTTTCTAATTCTAGAAGAAGCCAGCACTATCCTCCCTGGCCTCTCTGGCTCTATCTAAGAAAAGAACTATGCAACCTTCTTTTCCTACTAATTTCAGTTTTTAAGACATTATACCTTAGAGTATTAACAGAAAGAAAATAATAAATAGCTGAAGGTAGTATAAGGTCTTTCTGACTCTAATTTGGAACCATAATTTGAGGCAAAAATCTCCACTTCCATAGGGAAGACTGTTTCTCCCATGCAAAATTTTTCACATCTTAGCATTGGAGAAAGTATGGTTAGCTTTGACCTTCCAGCACAGTTGTGAAAACAGCAGTGTAATTCTCTTTCTGCCAAGAAGGGTCTACTGCTGAAGTCAGCAGAGGAAATATGATTGGGATTAGAGGAAAGAAGATGGACTCAAACCAATTACTTAACAGCAAGCTTTTAGAAAACTCAGAGTGCGTGTGCAAATGTTTTCTTTTCTTGCAAAAGGCCAAATAGGAAGATAGGAGATGCCAAATTGGCTGAGGTTTGGCAAGTCCTTAAAGAAGTAACTTTAACTTCTCTTTGATAGTTTGTACACTAATGGCCTTCAGGAGTGTTAAGTTCTTGGTGGCTCAAGGTCAGAACTCTGGCTAGACAGTTTAGCTTTGACTGAAGTCATGCTAAAATGTGCCCACTGATGACATATTTTTCAAAGTTAATTCCTTTGACAGAACCTTGACCATTCCTGGCAGTGGTATAGAAATGAGGATATTGTGGAAGGAGGGGGAAAAGCTGGGGCTGGGGTGAGGAATGGCTCTTTCTGGATCTTTGGTGGGACATTAGAAGTAAATAAAGTTTGATGGAAGTATTTTGGATTGCATGTGAAAACCCCACACTGTACCCCAGAAGTGCATTAATGTACATAGTTACCATTCAATAAAAAAAAAAAAGAAGTAAATAAACAGGGAAGATTATGAGAAATAGATGAACAATTGTGTGTCCCTAATATATTGGAACCCTTAATAAATACTACACAAAATAGATAGTGGAAGTATTTCCTGTAGTATCTTTTCTACTCTCCATAGAGCCACTTTGAGACTGTCAGTCTAGGAGACTTGAGAATCAAGGGTGTGAAGTCCCCCTTTCAGTATATTCCTGTGCTCAGGTGGCTCCTGCCAGTTTTACTTACTCTAATGCCAGAAATCCAGAGGCTCATCGCCTCAGAAACCAGGGTAAGCAAGAAATCCTAAAAATTCTACTTTTCCAGGAACACAAATCACCTAGGACATAAAAAGAGCTTCCCGTAATAAGATTTCTTGACTTTAACAAAAAATAGTATCCTATTATGAGAGACCACTGCAAAAATTTGAGTTCTCCTCGAAGTCATGGACCAAGAGTTATAAGGAGCCTTTTAGAGCATCTGTTCAATCCCTCAAAGCAGTAGTTATGTCCAAGAAGTTTTCATAAGTTTCTCAAGTGTATTTATTAGAACTCCCATGTGTCATTTAAATGCCAGAGGAAGCAACCTGTTGCTTTAAGCCAAATGCCATTCTTTTTTTATTTTTCTTCCTTCTCATATCTTAGAAGAAAATTACTGATGTTCTTGCAAAATCAGAGCCCAAACCAGGGACACCTGCAGACCTGCAGCAGCTGATGAAGGACTATTACAGCAGCAGTCGTTCCGTGATTGAATTAGAAGAACTGAGCCTGCCAGGTATAGCCAGGCTTTGATTTTCTAATGATGAAGAGCAAAGCGGGCTCATCTTTCCTCTCCTCTGTGTTATGCTTGGGTACCTCAGCCAGTAAATTAAAGTGTTTTCCACGTGCTAATGCTCTTTTGTCAACCTAATAGTTTTAATGGTTTCCTTGTTGGGATGTTAAGCAGTATTTGTTGAATTTAACACTAAGATTTGCAAGTGTATTTTCTTTTTTATTCAAAAGGTTAATTGTTGAGTCTGTATTTGTTTTTTTTTTTAAGCAGACTATTGAAGAAGAATTCCTAATGAGGACAGTGTTGGGGGGCCTAACAGCAGCCACATACAAACCCTTTTCTTCTCCATTCTCTTCTTCTCCTAAGACAAAGACACAAAGGATCTGGCTAGCCCACCCCCTGAGACCCTAATTTTCCATGCAAGCCTTGAAATGTGCCCACCCAACCCACCCCGTGACCCCCATATAAAAGGAGTCTCTAACTGCCTCCAGGGGGAGCCACCATCTTTGCCCTGCCTGTTAGGTCACCCTCCCTTTTCAAATAAACCTAGCCTGAACACCTCCTCTGCAGACTTCCTTCTCGGCCCCCATCATTTACACCTTTCAGACAGAAGTTAAGTAAAAATAAAGCACACATTTCAAGTATAGATATGAAACATTGATTTGCTCATCCTTCATAGATAAGAAGTTTAGCCTTATGAAAGCATCTTAGTTTTGTTGTTGTCCTTTGTGGATTTCTTGGTCATGGTTTTGCTTTTAGAGTAGTATTTCAGGTTGCAGCTCAGACTTTTTCAAGCAAACAATCCAAAGGTAGGAACAAAATTCTGCATTTTTAGCAAGGCTGACACCTCACCTCAGGCGATGCTTAAGCTCACTAGAATTGAGATTTACTGCCTTAGTGTATTTATAATTAAGATAAAAGATAGTGCAAAATCATAATAACTAATTTTAATTAATTTCAAGATTATAATCCATGCTATATGACTTTCTTGGGGAGGGATAGGAGAAAATAGATGTTGTTATAAAATCAAACCACAGAAGTCTGGGTGCCACTACTTTAGTCTATTTATAGACTACTAGGGATATCTAATACTGCTTTTGGAAAAAGTCAAAGGTAGCTTGATTTCCTTTTCCCATTGCAATTTTATGCTTTCTAGAAGCTTGAGAAACTGAAAAACAGTCTGTTCCCTGGATTTTTATAATTCTTTTGTAATATGCTTTTTTAAGAAACACACACTGAGTTTGGAGACATGAGTGCCCCTGACTGTTCCTTTTCCAAGATTACCCTTTGGAGAATTGAAGGAGTGCATTTGCACAGGAGCAAAATCTGGAGTTTTAGACTTAGCCCAGATGTCTCCCACAGCAATTGAAACCCATCCTCCTCAGCACACTGGTGCCCCTGGGGTGAGAGCTGTGCCCTGACTGCTCTATCACAGGAACCAAGCATTGTAACAAAAGCACTTCTCAAGCTTTAACTGCTTTGGTTTTTACTATGACTCAATGGTCAGTTTTCTTTTTAGTTCTAACTTTAATTTACAAAAGATTTATGAGTTCATGGGACTACCACTATTCTATAACTTCATAGAAGATCACAAACCTTGATTCTATCTATAATTATATAGTCAAAGGTTAGAAAAAAACTTTAAGGAGTCATTTAAGTTCCATAGTGAATTTACATTTTATTATATTATTAGAGTTCAGTATAGTTAGGCAAGAATGTGTGGGTTGGTTTAGAGAAGAAGGAAATTATGTTGGGAATACTGTTGTGGCCAGAAAGAACCGGTTTGCATTTTCAGTTATGAAATTAGGCCATTCTGAGACACAGAAAACTGAAGCATCACAGGAGGGTTTAGGATAAAAGACCTTGGTCACTGCACTGATGACACCAAGGACATAGGGGACGTCTATGCTAGGTGATAGGAGGGAGATACTATGGGTTATTTGAGACAGGCTCAAGAAGGGGCGTAATTATAAGGTGGATATAAATAATAAAATATTGTTCCTATTTAGTTTGTCAGGTCTCTAACTTGGTTTTGACGGGAAGTTGTATGTGTCTGTAGGACAGGAATATGTCTTTCCAATTAATATTGTATACTGTACATTGTTAATGTCATACACATGGGCACTTAATTAGAGTTCAAGGCTGGAATCACCTGGAGCTAATTAACCTCTCTGCTGTCTTCTGAGAGCTGGAGTACAGTTTAGACCAGTGATTCCTGAATGCCTATGCAGGGGTCCTCAATCTTTTTAAACAGGGGGCCAGTTTACTGTTCCTCAGACCGTTGGAGGGCTGGACTGTGGGCCCTGGGACAAGTCGGCTGCTAAGCAGGACAGGCAGTGGCAGCAAAAACACCCAGTGGGCCGGATAAATGTTCTAGGACCACATGTGGCCCGTGGGCCATAGTTTGAGGATACCTGGGCCCTATAGGCTACCTGCAACCAGTCACCCAAGAACTTATTAAAAAGCAGATTCCCAGGCCTTTAAGGGATTCTGACTCACTGTGCAGAAGAGAGTTCATCTCAGGAAATCTATATCTTTTGTAAAGTTTCTCAAGTGAGTCTAAACATATTCGAGCTTGGAAAATTACAGTTTTAAAGACCATCATAAGGGAGGGGAGGCAACAGCTTTGAAGTTTGTTATTTACAGGAGTTATACATGCTGCATCCCAATATACAGTTCATTTCATTTAGTGATAGTTTACTCCCTAACACTACTGTGTTTGTAGACAAACTTTTTCTTATAGAAAAAATTAGGGTGCTAGCTGTGATGTTGCATTTTCATTCATCTCAGGTACAGAGTTGATTAATACTACATAATTGCTAGACCATGACCGTCATTGGTCACGCAAGGCCCCTGTTTTACTTTCATGTGTTCTGTTGTCTTTTATTGTGTTGTTGTGTTGTATTTTGATGCATTATCCCCGTTTTCCCCCAAGCCACACTCTCCTTTCTTTACAGACATTTACTCTAATGTGGTGACGTATGTTTTTAAATATGTACATATTCTTATAAAATTCTTATAAAATATGAGTATGTCGTGTAGGGGGGGTACATATTAAAATTTATGAAATGACTTTGTGCTGATCCTTTCATTGTTTCTTTCTTGACTTGACATTTTTTTCCATATGTGCCTACATGGCTCATTGCTTCTGAATGCTACAGTGTATTCCAATATTTTCAACTACCTCATCATCACACCCATTTTTCCAAATATGGACACCTAGGTTGCTTTAAGCAATCAATCTAATGTTGCAAATAATGCTGGAATGAATATCCTGGTATGTGTGCCTCCATAGACCACTCAAGAATTTCTTTCTGTTCTTACCCAGAAATGAAATCATGGGGCCTTAGGGTAGGTACATTTTAATATTACTACTTTCCAGAATAGATATACCAGTTTATACTTCCACCTCTAGTTCACAGAAGTTACCACCACCCTATATTTTCAACAACACTTGGTATTATACAACTTTGTAACATTTGCTGTTCTAATGTGTGTGTAAAGCGTTATTCATTATTGTATTAATTTGCCTTTCTCTGATGACTAATGGGTTTGAGCATTTTTATATAGATTGTTAGCCAGTTCATTTTGCCTTTAGGTAGTACCTGTTTTAAGGATTTAAAAAATAAATATGCTTCATTAGTCTGCTGGGTGATATAACAAGCTTCCATTTCATGGCTCTAAGAAATTATGGGCAGCTCTGAGAAAGGTTATAAGCTTACTTGTTCATTACGGTGGCTTTTGCCTGTGATCCCAGCACTTTGGCATGCTTAAGTGGGAGGATCACTTGAGGTCAGGAGTTAGAGATCAGCCTGGGGAACATGGCAAGACCCTGTCTCTACAAAAAAAAATGTTTTTAAATAGCCAGGCCTGATCTTGCACACCCGTAGTCCTAGCTACTTGAGAAGCTGAGTCAGAGGATCCACTTGAGCGCAAGAGGTGGAGGTTACAATGAGCTATGATAGTACCAGTGTACTCCAGCCTAGCCACCACAGCAAGAGAACCTATCCTGCCTCCTAAAAAAAGTAATTGTTTCTGCTGCTGTTATTTTAAATACTAGATAACACTTTAATATAATGAACCTCCAATTCACTAATGTTTTACCCTATTCAAGAATATGTCATTCACAGTTAATCTATTTTGACTGTATGTTTGCAAAACTCTCTACAAACAATGTTTCTCATATTTCTAGAGTCCTGTTTCCTCACAGCCAATGATTTGACTCACAGTCTTTCATCATACCTAAAAGAAAGTAAGTAAACTCTGATTTTTTTAAAATTTTAGATTAATATGGGGCCACAGACAGTTACATTCCTTAGTTGCATTTGTAAGGTTCAAGTCTGATATGTAGGTGTGTCCCACACCCAGTTAGTGTGCCATAAACTCATGCAATGTACCCATTGGGTGGGAATTTACCCAACTCCTTCCCTCACCCCCACTTGAATTTTGTTGAATTTTTCTCTCACGTGAGTATGTAGGTGTTAATCTACTAATTCCAATGTAGTACTTGGGAGAATGCTCTCTAATTCTATCCAGGATATATAAATCTCCATCTTTTTATGGCCAAATAATATTCCATGGTTTTCACATACTACTATTTGTTAATCCATTCCTATGTTGAAGGGTACTTGGATTGGTGTAAGTCTTTGCCATTCTGAATGGTGCTGCTATAAACATTCAAGTGTAAGTATCTTTATAGTAGAATGCCTTCTTTTACTTTTGGGGAAATGCCTAGGAAGGGGGTAGCAGGATCAAATTGTAGGTCTACTTTTAGCTCTTTGAGGAGTTTCCATACTGCCTTTCATAGAGCGTACACCTGTGTACAGTCTCATCAACAATGTATAAGTGTTCCTTTCTCTCAGCATCTACCCCAGCATCTGTTGTTTGGGGACTTTATAATGTAATCCATTCTCTCTAGAGGTAGGTGATATCTCAATGTGGTTTTGATTGCATTTCTCTGATGGTTAGAGACAATGAGCATTTTTTTATGTGTTTGTTGGCCATTAGTCTGTCTTCATGAGAAAAGTTTCTGTTCATGTCTCTTGCCCACTTTTTAATGGGGCAAAAATCAATGGACAAAGAATCAAACTTCTTTCTTATTGATTTCCATGAGTTCTTCATAAATTCTGGTGATCAGCCCATTGTCATATGGGTAGCATGTCAAAATCATCTCTCATTTTGAAGGTTATCTTTTTGCTTTGTTAATTGTGGCCTTAGCTGGACAGAAACTCTTTAACTTGGCTCGGTACCTGTAGTTCAGTGGCTAGGGCTTCAGCCGCATACACTGGAGCTGGTGAGTTCAAACCCAGCCTGGGCCTGCCAAACGACAATGACAACTACAACCAAAAAATAGCCAGGCATTGTGGCAGGCGCCTGCTATAGTCCCAGCTACTTGGGAGGCTGAGGCAAGAGAATTGCTTAACCAGTGGTTCTCAACCTTCCTAATGCCACAACCCTTTAATACAGTTCCTCATGTTGTGGTGACCCCCAACCATAAAATTATTTTCATTGCTACTTCATAACTGCAATTTTGCTACTGTTATGAATTGTAATGTAAATATCCGATATGCAGGATGTATTTAGGCAATCCCTGTGAAAGGGTCGTTCAACCCCCAAAGGGATCATGACCCACAGGTTGAGAACCGCTGGCTTAAGCCCAAGAGTTGGAGGTTGCTGTAAGCTGTGATTCCACAGCACTCTATCAAGGGTGACATAGAGAGACTCTGTTTCAAAAAAAAAGGAAACTCTTTAACTTGATCACTTCCCATGTATTTATTTTTGTTGTTCCTGTCATTGCCAGTGGGGTCTTCTTCAAATTCTTTCTCTAGGACAGTAAGATTAAAAGTTCTTTCCTATACTTTATTCTAGAGTTTTTATAGTTTCATGTCTTAGATTTAAATCTTTATCTATCATGAGTTAATTTTTGTAAGGGGTGAGAGGTGTGGATCTAATTTCAGTCTTCTACGTGTGACTAATCAGTTCTTCTAGTACCATTTATTGAATAGGGAATCTTTTCCCCAGTGTATGCTTTTCTTTTCTTTGTCAAAGATCAGATGGCAATATGAGGCTGTTTCATTCTAGATTCTCAATTCTGTTCCATAGGTCTATGTTTCTATTTTTATGCCAATACCATGCTGTTTTGATCACTATAGACTTGTTGTATAGTCTGAAGCCTGGTAAAGTAATGCCTGCAGATTTGTTCTTATTCTGTAGAATTACATTGCCTATTCAGGGTTTTTTCTGATTCCATATGAATCAGAACTGTTTTTTCAAGATGTATAAAGTGTAATGTTGGGAATTGAATTGAGTCTCTAGATCACTTTAGGTAGTATAGACATTTTAACAATGTTGATTCTTGTAAGCCATGAATGATATGTTCTTCCATCAGTTGATCTCCTCTGCTATTTCTTTTCTCAGTGTTTCATAGTTCTTTCTGTAGAGATCCTTAGCATCCTTTGTTAAATATATTCCTAGATATTTCTCTTTTTTTATGCTATGGTAAAGGGTATTGTGTCTTTGATTTGATTCTCAGCTTAACTGTTATTGGCATATATGAAGGCTATTGATTTGTGTACATTAATTTTATATACTGAGACATTGCTGTATGGCTTTATCAGTTCCAACAGTCTCTTGTTTGAGCCTTTAGGATTTTCTAAGTAGAAGATTATGTCATCTGCAAAGAGCAACAGTTTGACCTCCTGTCTCCTCATTTGAATACCCTTCATCTCCTTCTCTTGTCTGATTGCTTTGGCTAGGACTTCCAGCATTGTGTTGAATAGTAGTGGCAATAGTGAACAACTTCATCTTGTTTTTGTTCTGCATGGAAATACTTTCAGTTTTTCTCTGTTCAATGGGATGTTGGCTGTGGGTTTGTCATATATGGCTTCCATCAATTTTAGGACTGTCCTATCTATGTCAATTTTATTAAGTGTTCTTATCAAAAAATGGTGTTGAAGTTTGTCAAATACTTTTTCTGTACCATTGAGAGGATCATATGGTTTTTGTTTTTACTTCTGTTTATGTGGTGAATTACATTTATAGATTTGTGCGTGTTGAACCAGCCTGTATCCCTGGGATGAAGCCTACTAATTTTTTTTTTTTTTTGATACACAACTTCTGTTTGCTAAGATTTTATTGAGTATTTTTTGCATTTATATTCATTAACAATATTGGTCTGTAGTTTTGTTTTTTGTTGTGTCCTTTCCTGGCTTTGGTATCAGGGTGGCATTTGCTTCATAGGAGGAGTTGGGGAGGGTTCCTTCCTTCTCAATGTTTTGGAATAGATTATGCAATGTAGGTAACAGCTCTTCTTTGAAGGTTTGATAAAAGTCTGATATGAAACCATCTGTTCCAGGACTTTTTTTTGTTAGAAGATTTTTTACTGGTGTTTCAATTTCAGTGCTTGATATTGGTCAGTTCAAGTGTTCTATTTCTTCCTGGTAGAGTTTAGGAAAGTGCTGTGATTCCAGGAATTTGTCCATTTCCTCCACGTGTTCAAATTCCTGGGCATAAAGATTTTCATAGTATTTAGTGATTATATTTTGTGTTTCCATAACATCTGTTGTTTCCCCTTTTCATGTCTTATTGAGCACATAGAGATCTTACTTTTTAATATCTGGTTAATCTAGCCAAAGACTTCCCAATTTTGCTTTATCTTTTCAAAGAACCAACTTTTTGTTTTGTTAATCTTCTGAATGAGTCTTTGACTTTGGTTATTTATTTTCTCCTGCTAGGTTTGGGATTGTATTGCTATTCTTTTTCCAGTTCCTTGAGATGATTCATTAGATTATTGATTTGTGTTCTTTCTGATTTCTGGATGTGGGCATCTAAGGCAATGAATTTCCCTTTTGGGACTGCTTTTGCAGTATCACACAGGTTTTGGTAGTTTGTAGCCTCACTGTCATTTTCTTCAAGATATCCACTGGTTTCCATCTCCGTCTCCTCCTAGATCCAGCTATTGCTCGGCAAATAGGTTGTTTAGTTTCATGACTTTGTATGGGGATGAGTGTTTCTATTGGAATTGAGTTCTGTTATTATTCCCTGTGATCTGTGAAGATACTAAACTCTGATTTTAATCTATTTATATTTATGCTTATTTTACTCTGGCTTTGAAAAATTCTGTTTGGTCTTGTTTTTGTTTCAGAACACATAAGAAATATTGGTCTAGGACTCCAGAGCATAACATTCTAGTTCTAAGTCCCCTATTGATTTGCTACTTGACCTGGGACAAGTCACTGAGTATTTTCCTGAATTTGACCTTATTATCTGAAAGATGGGGAAGAGAAACTATGTGATTTCTATTCCAGCTCTAAGATTCTGAAATTCTGTTCATATGTTCAGAACTCAGATCATGGCCAGGCATATGGTATGGTGGCTTATGCCTATAATTCTAGCATTTTAGAGGCCAAGGCAAGAAGATTACTTGAGTCCAGGACTTTGAGACTAGCTTGAGCATCATAATAGGATCTTATAGAGAGAGAAAAATATAAACATTATCCAAGAGTGGTGTTGCACATGTATAGTCTTAGCTACTTGAGAGGATGATATAGGATTACCTCTTGAGCCTAGGAATTGGAGGCTTTAGTGAGCTGTAATGATAACACTGTACTCCAGTAATACCCTATCTCAGAAGGGTATTGCTATCTCAGAAAAATAAAAAATTCAGCTTGTGACTATTATGAAGTCAGTCTAATTTGATATTTTCAATATTCATTGTGTGTAGTCAGGGATAACTAGATTATTCATGTTAAGTGGTCATTTATTTGTGGCCAACAATGAAAAATTTAGATACAGAGTTTTATTATTCTTCCTTTCAACCATAAGCAATTCTGATGACACTCGACTTCTAAACCCACCTTTCTCAGCATCAAATTCAGCAAATGTAAATCTAGGTAATAATAGAATCAATTTCATTGGCTTATGAGAACTAAAAAGAAAATGTATGTAAAGTGCTTAGTACGATGTCAGTATTTAATATATGTTTGCTATTATTTATATGTCTGTTCCATTGTATATCTTATACTGAGTGTCTCTTTAAAATTTAACATAGAGCAGCGGCATTGGCCTCATATACCAAGGGTGGCAGGTTTAAACTCAGCCCTTGCCAAACTGCAACAAAAAAAAAGGATTAGTAGGTGCCTGTAGTCCCTGCTACTCAGGAGGCTGAGGCAAGAGAATCACCTAAGCCCAAGAGC